GTGGCCCGGGGATGTGGCAGGTGGGGGGAGCCGGGTTTGCAAGCCGCTGCCCTACCCCTTGCCCTCCCCCTTGAAAGCAAGCCCCATTGTCCCAGGAACCTGGTTTACCTGCCTTTCGGGACTTCTCTTTCCCTCATCTGGATTTCTAAGACATTGCCTCTTGCTACCTGAGTGAGGTAGAAGAGTCCAGTGTTGTATCATGAATAAGCTGAGACGGGCTGATGTAATTGTCACTTAGGGTAAATGCTACGGCCCTGTGGGTCTGAACAGATGGGGCTGTGTCCCTGGGTGTTTTTTGGAGCTCCTGTGGCAGTGCTGGGACCAGGCCATGTATGTATGTGTGTGTACGTGTGTTTGTGTGTGCATATGTGTACGTGCACGTGTGTGTGTGTGATGGGGGACGTGTCACAGTCAGCAGACACACAGGCCATGCGATGACCTGCGGCAGGCGCAGGGTTTCCTCCGAGCTACCTCCTCTCATGTCCGTGTCCAGGCAGTCCGAGGGCCTGCTGATGGCAGGATGGGACTGTGTTCTCCTGGGGTGTCTGCCGTGGAGCCTTTTTGAAAGAAAGACCTTTTCTGTGGTGACTGGAACAGCCATGGGGGCTGGAGGCACCCATGGATTCCCTGGCTGTCTTCTTTCTGTGTCACTGGGATCCACGTATAGCCAGTGAATCAGGTGCTCTGGGTACTGCCTCGCGGGCCCACACACAGCTCCATGCTCTCTTTTGGGTGCTTCCTGCCATTTCTCTCTCAGGCTGCTCTGCATCCCTGGACACTTTGTTTGCTGCAGACCATCCCTGTCCTGTCCGGTTCAGTTACCTGCTAGGCTCTGGTGGCTCCTCTTCCCCAGCCACTCCCAGGTCCTGTTCTTGGTGACATGTATTCAGAGTGGAGCACCCATGCAGGACAAGGGGGGGCCATTGCCTCCCATGGGAAGTGAGGGGTAGGCTGAGAAAGTCGGCACAGTGACGGAGGGTATTGTCCCCAGTGAGACCTCAGCCCGGAGCTCCTGCTTTCCCCCATCCCCTGCGCAGTCCTGACCTTTGGTTCTGCCCTGACAGATGAGGGGCGTCGCCCTCCCCTTCATGCAGCACCTACCACCGTCTCAGGGCCTGTGCTTGAAGAGGGTCGTCACCCAGCCTCTGCTGTTCCCTTCCCCTGACTCCCCTAGGCCTGCCCAGAGTCCTGCTGATGCTGTTCCCAGACGTGGCACTGCAGGGGGCATGGTGTGCTGGTCCGAAGGCCGGTGTTGCTGACAGCGGGTGCTCCGTGCAGGCCGGGGGAGTTGGGTCAAGGAATATCCCCACCTGGAGCCATGATAGACCCCTGGGGGCAGGGTGCCAGGACTCGGTGGTGGCAACTCAGGAAACCACACAGCCTGTGTCGGTGCTGGTGGGAGGGGCACTGCTTGCTTCATGAGCTTGCCTGTGATCTTCAGCGTTCAGCCTCCCAAACCGAACCTCTTGCCCTTGGCGAGCGACTGGACCTGACGCTTTGCTCTCTGTCCTCTGCTGCAGGTACATGTCTCAGAACAAGCACGCAGAGGCCCGGGAGCTCATGTGCTCTGGAGCGCTGCTCTTCTTCAGCCATGGCCAGGTGAGCAGCCAACATGGCCCCAGGCTTTCTCTGCTCAGGGCTGGAGGGCTGGAATAGGAGTGTCCTGGGCTCCTGTGGGGGCCCCAGCACTGTCTGGGCATGGGCACCACACGCCTAGGCCGGGAGCCTGTTATATGGGCTGCTTTGCTGTGTCTTCTGAGCACAGAGCTTCCTTTCTAACCATGCGATTGTTTGTGTCCATGTTGTGTAGCAAAACAGTGCTGCGGACTTGTCCATGCTGGTCTTAGAGTCGCTGGAGAAGGCGGAAGTGGAGGTAGCCGAGGAGCTGCTGGGTGAGGCTTTCTCACAATGCACGAGGCTCCTTCATGCAAGTGTTTCGGGGCTGTTGTCTCATGTAGCAGTCCCCTTCACACACGTGTGCACACATGCACACGGAGGCCACTGTGCTGTTCTGTCCCCAGGACCTGCCCCTTTGCACTGCTGGGACGGCGAGGAGGCCCCACTGCTGCCGGTGCCCCTCAGGGCTATGCTCCCACCACCAGGCGGGCTCCTCTGGGCATGGTTGGGAGTGGTCCTGAGCAGGGCTGGCCCGTGGGGGGCACACGAGAACGCTGCCAGGTGCTGCCAGCTGACCTTGTCGTGAAACCATGTTGTTTTAACAAACTCCTCAGGGTGCACTGCAGAAAGCTGGGGTCGTGATGTGCTCCCCAAACGGGTCTGTTTGCGTTGTTTTTAGAAAATCTGGCTAAACTGTTTAGTCTGATGGATCCGAATTCTCCGGAGAGAGTGGCCTTTGTGTCTAGAGCCCTGAAGTGGTCCAGCGGAGGCTCCGGGAGGCTGGGCCACCCCCGGCTGCACCAGCTACTGGCCCTCACCCTGTGGAGAGGTAGGTGGTGTGCATGGGGCTCAGAAGCACGGAGCATGTGTCCACTCTGTGCCTCTTAGCTTCTGATTGTTCTCTCTAATCATTGAGCCTCTGCCACCTCATGAGGGCCAGGTTTTCTCTGTGAGATAATACGTGGGGGCTGGATTTTCTCTTGTCTGCTGAAGGTAAATGGCTGTGTTCCACATTCAGTCTCCTCTTGGTTAAGTCATGTAGCCAAAGGCCAAGCACCGGAAGCAGTGAGGCTGGCACAGTGACAGTGGGAGGGGCTGGCTACACTGGGCCTGGCCCATTTTTCCCCATGCAGCCTTCAGGTCCCAGTAGACGACCCCCACCTCCCACCACAGGTCTCCTTTCTGGGACCCCTTCCCCAGACTAGCACCTGGTGGCTGCTCTCTCTCCTTAGCATGTGCCTTGCCGCCTCCTTCAGCATCTGTGGGGCTCTAGTGGGTCCTGAGCTCAGATCTGTGACTCAGGCACAGGAGGAGGCCCTCGGTGAGCACCTGCTGAATGCCCGCAATGACAGCTCTTCAGTGGGGCATTAAAAAGCTGTGTCCCCAAGGGCCCTGTGAGGTCAGTGTGCAGTTGTGCATTCCTGCGTCCTCGGCAAGTCTTTTGGGGCCCCCTTGCCCTGGCTGTGCACGGTGACAAGTGCGCTCCTGTCCTCACTGGATGCCCCGAGTGGGTGCAGGGAGGCTCAGCCTCATGTATTTGAAGCCAGGAGCTCAGGTGCAGGCTGGAGGCAGCTTTCTGCTGACATGTGCGCCGAGCCTTGTAATCGGGACCTATGCTCATGGGAGCTACAGGAACCAGCCTGCTGACTGGTGTGTGGGACTGGACAACTGTCTGCTTGACCAGCCAGGGTGGCCCCAGAGCTTCCTCCCTTCCCTTGTCTCATCTGCCAATAGCGTCAGCCCCTGCATGCCAGGTCCTAGAGCCCACTGAGAAGCCAGCCACTGGCAGAGGCCAACTGCACCCTCCACTCTGTCCCCACCTGCTATGGGTGCTGGCTCTGCGCCCACCCCACAGGGACATTATGAGAATAATGGGTCAGATCTAAGAGACCACGAAGGCGAGAGTGTTAAGGAAACTTAGAGGGTGTGGCTGGGTCCCTCCCAACTGCAACCCAAGAAAGAAATGTGACTGAGAAATAGCCGCTGAGCCCTTTGGGCCAAGACAGCCAACAGGCTCCCTCCTCGTGGGCACACGTTCCCTGTGAGTGCCCCGCTTCCTGAGCTCGGCCTTTGCCTCGTGCTCATGGCCGACTCTTCCTCATCCTAGACCTTGGGTTGATGTCTGTCCCACAGGTGCTGCTTGGGTGGTCCCGTCCTCGCTTATAGCCCCGTTTATTTTCTGTCTGTCTTGTCTCCACCAGTGAGCCCTCTGCCCACAGTCCCATCCGTGGTCTCATTACTGCAGGTGCCCAGGAGTACCTCTCCCATCATGCTAGCCACTCCTGGGGCCAGCCCAGCTCTTGTTTTGTCCTAAGAGGAGGAGGGCCACCCTGGTTAGACCCCCGCGGCAGGGCCAGTTGGGGTCACTCCGGTTAGACCTGTGTTGCCAGCCGGCATTTATCTGGCACCATTTTTCCCAGCCTATGTCTGTGGCTCCAAAGCAGAGGGCACAGCCCAGACTTAGCGATTCCAGGGTTCTCAGAGGCATTCAGAGCTGCAGGTGCTCTAGTAGCACACTCCCTCCCTCTAACCTCAGCTATGTGCTGGGCACTTCTGGCTATTTAATTGTAAGTGGGCTCAAATGGTCTGAGTTTTAAAAGCATGACCAAAGTCCCCAGCCTCCCCATATCAGCAACGACTGAGTCTGTAACCCTGTTAGGGTGCAGGTTCTGGTTCAGGGCCTGAGTCTGCGTTCCTGATCAGCCCCAGGTGATCCCACTTTGTGTGAGGACAGTGTGGCCCATGCTGGGGACATGGCAGAGGTGGAGCCTGGTGCGGCAGTGCTCACTGCTGTCCCACTGCACATGGTTTGTCCTCACGAGGGCTTTGGTCCCTTCCTGGTAGGATGTGCAGCCCTTGGTCTGGGTTTCTGTCCAGTGCCTGCTCTGTGCCCATGCCTGGCACTCAAGAGTGCTATAGGGGCCATGGGCCTGGCTAGGGGAGCGGTATGTCAACAGCTCTGCAGGTCCCAGGGCATCTGAGCTGGTCCCAGGCACCTGTGTGTTGGGCAGTTGGGTTTTTCGCATCCCATTTTGTCAGATCTGCATGAAATTGCTTCGTGTAGGTCAAAAGGGTCCCCAATGGGCCGTGTCCTATGGTTCAACTAATATAAATGTTGATGTGGGGACACCAGGAGCCTACCCAGGTCAGTTCAGCATGGTCACCTTCCCTCGTAGCAGTTTGCATCGGACCCTTAGAGCTTGAGGGAGTCCGTGAGGTGCTGGCCAACCTGCTGTGAACAGGACTGGCACCACCCACGGTTAGCGCTGGGTCATGGTGGGGGGAGCAGTGTGAAATTAGGGGAGTCGGGGCATAAGAGAGTACAGGTCTCTAAAGGTCCTGGTCCTATGCCACATCTGTGTTGACGGTCTTTCTTCCCTTGCAGAACAGAACTACTGTGAGTCTCGGTACCACTTCCTCCACTCGGCCGACGGGGAAGGGTGCGCCAACATGCTGGTGGAGTACTCCACATCCCGCGGCTTCCGCAGTGAGGTGGACATGTTTGTGGCCCAGGCCGTCCTACAGTAGGTACCCCAAGACCAGTGCCCGCTGTCCCTGCCTGTCAGGGTTGTTTACACGGGTCCCCCAACCCAGACACGCGGGGAGGGTGACCTGAAGTCATGTGATGTCCCCACTGTGGCCCTGAGCATCAACCTAGGATCCAGGAGATCGTAGTTCGATTCCTGGTCAGGGCACCTGCCCGGGTTGCAGGCTAGATCCCCAGCTGGGGCCGTGCAGGAGGCAGCCAATCAATGACTCTCTCATCATTGATGTTTCTCTCTCTTTCCTTCTCCGAAATCAATATATATTTTTAAAATATATGTATGTACACACAGACATATATACTGGGGCATGTGCAGGAGGCAACCAACCAATGTGTCCCTCTCCCCCACTCCCTCTCTCCCTCCCTCCTCATTTCTACTCTGAAAAGCAATGAAAAAAATATTCTCAGGTGAGGATTAAAAATAAATAAGTACGATTGTGGCCACATGCACCTCAACCTGCCCTCAACCTGCCCCACTGCAGAGACATTCCCCCTGGGGCCTCAGACCACTGGCCCCTGGGCTGACTGTGCTCACCCAGGCAGATAGCTGACAGGTGTGCAGAGAAAGCAGAGCCCTCACCCTTCACACCTCTGGTGACTTTGGACAGGTCACCTCCCAAGCATAGTTCTCTTCAACTGTAAGTTGTGAAAATCCAGGCCTGCTGTGCCCAGCGGGCAGGCAGCTGGTGTGAGCACAGGGCTTCGAGGCCCTCCAGAGTTCGAGGCCTCTGCTGTGGTGCACCCTGGGCCACAGCTGTGGGAAGGGGGCCACAGCCACACGGGACTGCTTTTGCCAGCAGACGTTCTGTATTCCCATGCACTGGGATATTCTCATTTCCAGGTTTCTCTGTTTAAAAAACAAAAGCAGTGCATCCGTGGTGTTCACGACATACACCCAGAAACACCCGTCAATCGAGGACGGCCCCCCATTCGTGCAGCCACTGCTCAACTTCATCTGGTTTCTGCTTTTAGCTGTAGACGGGTGAGTGTGTGTGGAGGTGGGGGTATGTGGAGGTGTGTGCATGGCAGGGAATGTAGGCTCGTGGGGGGGGGGTGGCTCCTCTGTCCTGCTTGCTCTGGGTTCCAGTGCCCCAGAGCTGTGCCCACTTGTCTTGTTTCAGAGGCAAACTGACAGTGTTCACGGTGCTGTGTGAGCAGTACCAGCCATCCCTCCGGCGGGACCCCATGTACAATGAGGTGAGGGCTGCTGCTGCT